CCAGGAGCCCCTCATGAGTTATCTATTTTTATCGAGTAGCTAGTAGCTAATGATCTCTCGTCTAAGACCGTTTAATCGTAATTAATTTTTTTTCTTCCTTCGAGAAAGGTGATTTTCTCCTTTTGTTACCAAAACCAATGATGCTCCCAAGTACCAAGAATGTATCCCGATTTCAAAGTGTTGGAAGACGGAGACTCGATCGATACGCGGCCAGAGAAGAAAAAAAAAAAAAAAAGAAAGAAAGAGAAAAGAGAACGGCTATCTCAGGACTCTCACAGCGGACATTTGAAGGGGGGGTCAGGTATGATTCGGAGGGACTGGATGAAAAGGAGTGGAAAACGCGATGGTGGGTATACGAAGCCCTAGACAAAGAGGTAAATGTTAGATAGTTCATTGGCAAAGTGTTGGTTACTGTTGCTTTTCTGCGTGTGTTCTGTTTTGCCCTTCTGGGTGCACGAAACAACCGCTGCTGCTACGGCTGCCTTGAAACCAAGGGATGTTTTAATTTCCAGATCATGCAGAGAATTTGGACTGTAACAGCTAGCAACACTCACACTCACACGTAGCTAAGAGATATGACATTCAATCCAACACAACTCAGGAGGGAATATTGACCACGGGGGTAAAGATCGGAATGGAAAACGCGAGATGATATCAAAAAAAGCGAGAATGGGCACAAGCTCAACTCCCCTAACTTTAAAGTAAGTTACTAGTAGCGGCTGAGGCGATTCGCACCACACAAGTCACTGCGGAAACTCCACAAAAGGGAACAGGCTCGGCGAAAGATGGACGGAAGGAGGAATTGAGCCAATGTAGGAAAAGGGAGAGTTGCCTGTTGCTAGAGTCGCATAGTGGGAGGAATAAAATTCGAAGATGGTGAGTAAGAGGGCGCCCGTTGTGGTAGGTGAACCAAAGGGGGGTGGGGGGGGGGATGGGGATGCGGTTGCTATTTTGCTGCTCGGGGCCCCTGTAAGAAGAAGGTAAGTGGAAGGTAAGTGGCCTCCCTGGACAGCATGAGGAGCAACAGGACTGACGCAAGTCGTAAAACTTTTTTTTCCTAGTGCATTTTTCTGTCGTGGTTGGCAGCAAACCTTCCCTTGCCCCTTTTTAGCCTGGCCGACTAACCGACACAACGCTGGAACCCTTCGACCCTTCGACCCAGACCCAGGATAGAGGCCAGGATGCAGCCAGATTTCGTGCTCGATTCCTCACCGCCCGCGACGCGCTAGGCTGCTCCGGGCTGATCTAACTGTCGGATTATCCTTGTTTCCGGCAGCGGCGCTTCTCTGTATGCAGTTGGGGTTAGAAGTTCTGACAACAGACACTAACAGACGGGCATGAGGCGTCCAGCAGCCGCAATTGATACGTTATGAACCTAAATCCGTATACTGGCATTGTTCTTCTGATAAACTTCTCTTTCAGTTTTACTTTTACATTGCCTTTTAACTCCCCCGCTTACTCTTAAATTCAAGCCCCATTCAACCCTCTCAGGTCTTTGACACTTCTATTATTGTTGTTGTTCTTGGTGGCGGTGTTGCTCTTGTTAACAAGTTGGTTGCAGCACCTCATGCATGACGCCAATGCAAAACCCGGCTATCCTCGTGGCCAGTCTGGTATCCCCTCCATCAATCAACCCCATCCTCGACCAACAAAACCTGCCCGGCTGTCGGTCCGTACATGCGGGCAATAACATGCTTTTTCCCGTGGTCCCGGGGGATCGGTTGATAAGGTGCCTCGAATCGGAATACTCGATACTAACCCTCCACCGTTGATGCAACACGAACTTGACGGGGCGGGGTCATTTTTTCGCGTCGGAAACATGTGAGAGACACCCTGTTTGTGGGTATGTGGGTATGCGGGTATGCTCACACTTCTTCCTTGATTCCACTGGAACTGGAACTGGATGGATTTTGGTAGAACAAAACAAAGGTCATCTTGATGTCATGTTATACAGATCCATCGGCAAGAAGTATCCAGCCGTCCTTTCAACTTCAACCCTATCTCCTCCTCTCCTCTCCTTGCCTAAAAAACCCTCGATATGACGTATGGACCGTGTCACGCAACAACCGAAGCAAGATCAAGCTAATCGGAGTCGGTTGTCCTTGATGTACGGAGTATGCATGCATTCATGCATACATAGACACTGACCAGTGGCCATACGCAGCGTCCTGCAAATGTTTTTGACCCTGCCATGCTCTCTTACAACCCCTCATCTTGTCATCCTTTCGTCTTCCCTATTTTGCTATGTACAGTATCATACAATTTACCCCCAGCAGCTGAAAGTGGAACCTGCCCAATGCTGTATAGATTTCGCTAGTATGGGCAATGAGAAATTGTGTATTCTCTTTTTCCCGAAACTCTCCTTCCTCCCAGGCTCCATATATTTCTGTATGCATCATGTTTCGGAATGAATCTCCAAGGACAGTTGTAGAAAGGAAAGGCGAAGGGGAGGAAAATGAAAAGGATTTTACTCC